CCATATCGGAGTCTAATTAAGGTACCCAATCATGTTAACATGCTTCCATGCCAAAAGTAATTTTCAAGGACAATAACTTTACTCACAAAACACTCACTCTCAGAAAAATGGACTCTAAGGCTAATTAGCAATAGGTATTGTTCTCTTCCGATTCAATTACTTTCGTTGGTTCATTAGACTGGCCGCAAATCCCTTGAAGCCCACTTATCCAGAAGCACATGTGACTATTTGCCGTCCCCATGCAAAGAGTGCGGGAACCTCGCCGCGCCGGTACACACCATCACGGGCTGAATAATCACCTGGTGTGAGGATTCCCAGAATCCCACATCAGTCCAATTTGCATACAGCATCAGTTGAACAGTGCATCATGAAATGCTTTAATGTTTAATTAGAGCATTCTGTAGGCTCGGCAGAGACGTCAAGCTGGGCCTCAGCATGCGGAAGAGCTGATCAGGCGATGGGGGGCATGGAGACTTTAGGCGAGCAGCGGCTACTGCCCCCCCCCCCCCCCCCAGGCAGTCAGCACAGAGAGTTGCATCAGTAACATCCGAGCACCCGGATCCATAACATTGGTGAAGGAGCCCTTCTCATTTCTACCATAGGTGCAGGTCCTCCTTGCAATTACCCGACTGCAGCATCTGCAAACCACCACAACAACTAACACTCATCCAAGGCTAGAGACAGACAGAGATAAAAAACACACATTCAGCAAAGCCTGAAGCACGAACCGTCTCCATATCCAAAAATCTGCCCATCTGTACAAACAGGTAGAGGCAAAATATTCTGAAAGCCAGTAAAGGAACAAGCTCTGCAATGGCGCACATCACCACAGATTCCACATCTATAATAAACAAATAAATGCACCAGTTACACACGGTCTCATGACTGCTAAAAGAAAAATGTCACGCCTTTTTAAGAATTCCACAGCAAACGGGCTCAACAGCGGCCTGATTTGCCACACCGGTGTCTACAGTAATTTTCTTTTGCTTCACTGCTAAGCTCATTCCAGATCTCAGCAATCAAACATGGAACGGCTGACACACAGGAGCGAGAGGCCTGCCGAAACGCCACGCGCCACACTGAAGATGCTTTTAAAGTCTGCGAAAGATGGTAGGATCCCAACACAACTTAAGAGATCCGATTTATCGTTCTTGCCATACAGAACATAAATAAAAGCGGACAGACACACAGATGCAGATGAAACGTTGTATCGCTACGTGGCTATCTTCCATTTAGCCTCAGAAAAAATGTATGCATCATATTGGAAAGAGTTATTGAAGTAACCAATCATC